ATCATGGTTTTTAATCACTTCTGCCAACCTCCGTCTTTTGATTAGAGAGTTTAATCCATTTACATTTAAAGTAATTACTGATAAGGGGGGAACTTACTTCTGTCATCTTGCGATTTGTTTTCTATATGCCTCATAGCTGTTTGTCCCTAATTTCCTGCATTACTGTCTTCTTTTATGTTTAGTTGATTTTTTTTGTAGTGAAACATTTAAATTCCTTTCTCATTTCCTTTTGTGCATATTCTACAGCTATTTTCTTTGTGGTTATCGTGAGGATGACATTTAACATCCTAAAGTTATAACACCCTAATTTGAATTTACTCCAGCTTAACTTCAAGAACATACAAAAACTTTGCTCCTTTGCAGCTGTCTCCACCCTTTTAGTTGTTGGTGTCATAAAATTACATCTTTATACTTTGTGTGCTCAAGAACATAAATAATTCTTTAAATGCATTAATCTCTTAAATTATGTAGAAAACAAAATATGGAATTATAAACCCAAGTAACAATAATATAAGCTTTTAGACTAAGACTTGTTTTTTTAAAAAATGTGTTAGTCTCTTAAATCATATAGAAAACAAAAAAATGGAGTTACAAACCATTGTTACAATACTAGCTTTTATAATTGCCCTTGCATTTCTTTATTGAGATCTGTATTTTTTTTTTTTTTGTGAGGAAGATCAGCCCTGAGCCAACATCCATGCCAATCCTCCTCTTTTTGCTGAGGAAGACTGGCCCTGGGCTAACATCTGTGCCTATCTTCCTCCACTTTATATGGGACGCTGCCACAGCATGGCCTGACAAGCGGTGCGTCGGTGTGCGCCCGGGGTCTGAACCCGGGCCACCAGCAGCGGAGGGCACGCACTTAATTGCTATGCCACAGGGCCGGCCCTGATCTGTATTTCTTTATATGCCTTCAAGTTACTATCTAGTGTCTTTTCATTTCACTCTGCCAAACTCCCTTGCGTATTTCTTGCAGGGCAGGTCTAGTGGTAACAAACTCCCACAGCTTTTACTGTGGATTATCTTGATTTCTCCCTCACTTTTGAAGGTCAGTTTTGCTGGATATAGGATTCTTGGTTTACAGTCTTTTTCTTTTGGCACTTTGAACATATCAGCCCATTGCTTCTGGCCTCCAAAGACCTCCATTTCTGATGAGAAATCTGCTAATAATCTTATTGAGGATCCCTTGTATGTGATAAGTTGCTTCTCTCTTGCTGCTTTCAAGATTCTCTCTTTGTCTTTCAAAAGTTTGATTATATGTGTCTTGGTGTGGTCTTTTTGAGTTCATCTTACTTGGAGTTCATTGAGCTTCTTGGATGTTTATATTCATGTTTATCATCAAATTAGGGGTTTTCAGCCATTATTTCTTCAAATATCCTCTCTGTCTCTTTCTCTCTTCTCCTTCTAGGACTCCCACAATGCATATACTGGTCCCACTGACGGTGTCCCACAGGTCCCTTAGGCTCTGATCACTTTTCTTCAATGGCAAGTTTGCTGATTCTTTCTTCTGTCTGTTCAAATCTGCCTTTGAATCACTCTAGTAAATTTTTCATTTCAGTTATTGTACTTTTCATCTCCAGAATTTCTTTTTGGTTTCTTTTTAGGTTTTCTATCTCTTAGTTGACAGTTCCATTTCGTTCATCCATCATTTTCTTGACTTTCTCCACATCTTCCTTTAGTCTTTTCGGCATCTTTAAGATAGCCGTTTTAAAGTCTTTGTATAGTAGATCTGTCATCAGGTATTTTTCAGGGACAGTTTCTGTTGATTTTTTTTCCTTTGAATGGGACATACTTTCTTGTTTCTGTGTAGGCCTTGTGATTTTTAGTTGAAAATTGAACATTTGAATCTAATAATGGGATAACTCTGGGGAGATCAGATTTTTCCCCTTCCCCGGGGATTGCTGTTTTTTGTCATTGTTTTTGTTTTTCTGATTGCTGTAGACTGTCTCTGTGCCAAGGATCAGCCTGAGTTGTAAACTTAAGGTCTTCTCTGGTCTTTTTCTGAGCCTGTGTCTTTCCTTGGACACGTGTGGTCACCTTCTAATTTTCCTCATATATGCAGTTGCTTTTGAATGCCCTTGTCTTTCTCTTCTGGCTCCCAAAAAGGGAAAAAAAGAAAAATGAAGGGGGTAAAAAAAAGGGCCCAGTCCTTTAAATCCCCTAGAAGTCACTTCAGCTGTTGGGGAAGGTGTAGCAACAATGAGGGGAGGTGCAAGAACAAGGGCCGTCCACCTCTTTGTCTGCACCTCTGTGATCAGAACCAGTAATCAGAGCACAGACCCCTCATATTTTGAGGACCAGGTCGTTTTGCCCACCCTGGTTCCCGCAAGCTCTGTGCACGTTGCTCTAGGAACAAGTGCACAACTGCCTGCCATGTGGCTGAAGGTGGGGGATGGTTAGCTGCTACGAAGAGCTGAAAACTGAATGAAATTAACCCCAATTTACTGTCCAAGCCTTCCCCTGGAAGTTGCAAGCTTTCAATAGACTCCAGAGTTCCAAAATAGTTACATCAGACGGGTGTAATAGTTGTTTAAGTGGAGAAACAGATTCCTGGTGCTTCCTACTCCATCTTCCTGACAGTTCTATAAAACACCAATTTATTGAATCCTCATAACTACCCATGATGTAGGTACTATTATTATCCCTATTTTGCATGTAAAGAAACTGAGGCACAGATTTACCCAAGGTCACACAGCTACAAAGTGGCAGAGCTGGGATTCAAACCCAGACAGGTGACTCCAGAGCCCAGCTCCTCACAAGTATGCCATGCTGCCCATCTTCAGACAAGCAGTCCTCATGTTTACAGCCCTTTCATTATTGTAGGTTTAGCCTTTGCTGAAATACTCATAAATGACTAAAGATTTTAAGTACTTCTACCAATCATCCTGACAAGGAAAAACTCAAAGCTATGTTTTGTATAAAAGGTTAGAAACGAACTCAAGGCCCAGAAGAATGGTTAAATAAATACATATAATGGAATATTGTGCAGCTATTAAAAAGACTGAGGTATTTTTATATGCACTATTGCTGAATGACCTCTAGAAGCCAATGTTAGATTTAAAATACAAGGTGTGGAAGACTGAGTATTGTATGCTAACCTTTACTTGTGCTTTTTAAAAAGGATAAACTACACAAATATGTTTGTAAGTGCATATAACACTTCTAGAAGGACATGCAGGAAACTAGTAACAACCAGTGCCTTTGGAAAGGGGAACGTGGAGCCTGAGGCTCAGTAGTGGGAGGGAGTCTGACTTTTCTGTGCACGTTTTTGCACTGTTTGACTTTTCAGCGTGTGCATACATTATTATTCCAAATAGTTTTTTTAATGTGATAGATATTTCCTATGAAAAGAAGTGGTTGCCGCAGATATCAAGACAGTCCCTAGGAGATATTTTTACTGGCATTCTCAGTTACTCAGGTTCCAGAATTCAGCCCTGGGAGTTTGCTAGTTCCAGGGGATTGGCTTATGGCTTTTAGAGGCTTCCATTTACAGAATGAGTGGCAGAGCCTGTCTACCTTGACACACACACTCACCAAAGCAGGAGCTGCCCTGTGGGTTAAAAGTGGATATAAAACCTGTCACTTTTACAGACCCTCAGGTCACCAAGGTGGCTTGGTTTTCCTAAGAAACCAAGTGTGAATTCCTTTCATTTGCTTCACCTGGACCTAGATTATTTCAATCCACCCCACTCCTAATGCAGATCAAAATAAGAATCCGGCCAGGTGGCCTGGGACTGGGATGAGTGCAGGAATGTTATTTGGGGGGCAGCCTCTCATCCCTTCTTGGTTGAAGAATCCCACATTTCACTGCTCTTAAAAGCACCTTAATTGTGGATAGACAGGCTTTCTCCTCAACTAAAGGATACTTGTCCTTATTGTTCTGAATGAAGTAAACAACAACCAGAAACCTTGCATTAAAATAATAGATTGCTTTCAGTTTATTTTAAGATCTGTTGTCAACATCACTCTGGGATCTGACCTCACCAGTTCTTAAAGGCTGAAGAGGGCCGAGTACCATAAACACCAGGGCTGGAGACCTGGTCCAGCTCCACCCGCTGACTCAGCCTGGAACAGGTCCAGGCCCCAGGGACGTACGGGCTGAAAGGAATGGAGGTGGACTTCTCCAGAGAGAAAGAAAGCAGGATGAGGAGACCTGCCACCACTAACAAGCCTTTCTACTTTTCTTCCAGCGTCATTTGTTGACGTACGCCAACATCTGTTACTAGCATATGTTTGTAAAAGGTGGACTTTGAAAAGTCACCTTTAAGACTGATCAGTTTACACACGATTTAAAGATAGGACTAATGTTGTCTTCTCTTTCTAACTAGTGTGAAAATGGTAATGTCTGCTGTCAGACTAACTACAGTTTGAGTTTCTAACCACTAGGGGCTGACCTAACTCCACTAAAAGCAACTATTTTCTAAACCATTTCTTTTGCAAATTATCAGTTTCCAAGATGACCTAATTACACTGTTCATAAACTGTAATGTCTGGAACCATTCTTCCCAACACTAAAAGCCTTGATGCTAGAAGAGAGGAAAATGTCAGGTTTGGGTTCAAAGACAAGAGAGTAGAACAAGAAATAACACAAATCAGAGAGAACAGGAGCACCAGAAGGACATCAAAAAGTCTTAGCCTAGTGACTTACCTCACTGTATCAGAATCACCCGAGGATCTCACCTGTCTAGCCCCATCCCATCTCCTGGTGAATCAGAAGCCCCAGGGGTGGGACCTGAGCACTTGTATATTCAAAAAAGCTCCAAGGTTGAATCTTATGTGCAATCAAGGTCAGAACAACCCTGTGAGCCTAACACTTACTCTAGAAAGGAAGAACCTGGGCTCAGAGAGGGCAGTTATCTTGATGAGTCACACCTCCAAGTCACTACTGGGGAAAGCCTCAGGTCTCCTGACTCTCCATCCAGCGCTCTCTGGGAGGGAACAGCCCCTTCCAGTGCACCAGGGCCCTCCCCAGGGCCCTCCATGTATATTACACCACTTACGATTTGGTTTCTGACAGTCTTCTTGAATGATACGGTGGATCTTTCTGTGCAGTTCTTTGTCTTCTCTGGTTACCTAAATAGGAAAAACGGTTCCGAGAGAAAGCATTCTTAAGTAACACAGTGGTTGTGTCATCCAGACTCCCAAATTAGTATTTAGAATAGTTTCTAAAGAGTCCATAACGAGGGCCGGCCCCGTGGCTTAGCGGTTAAGTGCTCGTGCTCCGCTGCTGGCGGCCCGGGTTCGGATCCCAGGTGCGCACCGACACACCGCTTCTCCGGCCATGCTGAGGCCGTGTCCCACATACAGCAACTAAAAGGATGTGCAGCTATGACATACAACTATCTACTGGGGCTTTGGGGGAAAAAATTAAATAAATAAAATTATAAAAAAAAAAAGAAAAGAACATCTTCAATAAAAAAAAAAAAAAAAAGATTCCATAACGATCACCAAGCCTGCACCAACAACATGGTTTTCGATACTTGGCCTATTGTCAAACCAGCTCTGTCCCTAAGCAGCTCACTGCTCCGTAGTTGACCCAGAGGCACACTCCCTCAGGAGGTGGTTTGTTGCGGCCATGATAGAAAGAAAAACCGGAATTCCATACTTTTCTTTTTAAATATTCATAAAGTTTCTCTTATTTGTTATTATATCTTTGAGGGAGGCACAAGTGATCAAAGGCTCCACTCTCCACGCCAGGACTCTTTCCTCTGGGCCCTCACATCTGTCTTGTGTCTCATTAGTTTTCTTCCTTCTCTCAACCACAAAGAAAAACAAAAGAAATAAAAACTGTAAGGACAAGCTAGCAAGAGAGTAAATCTAGCCTATCCTTTGAAACACTTTCTGTTCTCAAAGGCAAACATAACCTAGTTCCTTTCTCAACCAGCTCAGGTAAGACGGAAGCAGCAACCAAATGGGGTTCACCTTCATGTTCAATAGTAAGTCTAATGACAAAAAAAGAAAGAAAGAAAGGGAAAAAGAGGAAGAAAGGAAGAAAAAAGAAAGCAGCATGCAAACAAACACATGTATCAGGAATGCCTGTCTGACCAGACTTACAGAATGACCAGATTATAGGAAGACCAGATTTATAGAAGGCGATACTGACAACAGCCAGCCTTCTCTCTCACAAGGTTATTGTGAAGATTAAGTAAGGCAATGTGGGTGAGAGCTGCTGAAAGCTGGAAAGCACTATACAAATAGAAGTATCTACATTACTATGATAACAATTTCCCTGAGGCGAGGCCCTCAGGAAAACAGGAACCTACAACCCCAGGCAGTGAGGTGGAAGGGGAGGAGCGAAGTCAGAGAAGGGGGATGGTTCTGCTGAGGAAAAGAGAGCTATTATTGCTTGATCACCCCATTCCAGCTCATACTGATTCACAGGAGGAAGTGCCCCAGCCCTGCCACACCTTGGCCCTGAACTGCTGCCCATGATCCTGCTGTTCCTCAGCAAGAGCTGCTTTCTACAGACCCAGGAGGCTGACCCCAGAGTCTCCCAGGGGAAAGGTGACTGGCTGGGGTGGAGGGGTTTAAGGTGAGCTGCCCAGCGTGAGCTTCTCTAACCTCACAACTGCCACCACGCCTTCCCATGCCTGGAGGGGGCAGACTGCACTCACCCTTATACAGAATGGAATAATCCTTTCAAAAGTTATTCAAATAGTATTTAAAACATATCCTAATTTTTTAAAACTCTCTAAAATGGGGACTCACTAGAGTAAGTCAACATCAAGAAAACGTCCTACTGAGGTAACTGTCCCCTCAGGAATCACGTCTGTAAACAGTGAGACTTCGGGATCCCTCCAGGTTTTGATCTATGTCTAGGAGAATGGGCACTGAAGCCACACCTACACAACTGATAGCAGTGGTCATGAGGAGGCCTGCTTTCAGCTTGGCTCCTCCAACAGCAGAGGTAGGCAGTGAGGGGTGAACTTTAACTCTGAAAGCATGAGGCAAGCAGGCACTCGTACCCCTGTGGGACTGTCAATCAGAGCAGCCTTTTGCGAGGCCAATCACACTGTGCTGACCAAAAGCTTAAATGTACATGCCCTTTGCTCCAGCAATTCCTCTTTAAAGAGTCAATCGTACAGAAATACTCACAGAAGCTCACAAAGATACTTGTGCAAAAATAGCCATAGCAACACTATTTATGAGCACAAAAGTTGGAAACAACATAAACGTCCACCAGAGAAGTGGTTAAAAAAATTCATGGCAAGTTCCCATAATGTGGAATATCACGCAGATGTCAAAAAGAATGAGGTAGATGTATAAGTACTAACCTGGAAAAATGCCCGTGAAGTGCTATTTTGGTCTCAAAAAGAGTTGCTGAGCATTGTTTAGAGCAGTGGCTTTCAAGTGTCCCAGGGGACACTTGACAATGTCCGGAGACATTTTTGGTTGTCACAACTGGATGTTGCTACTGGCATCTAGTGGGTGAAGGCCAAGGATGCCACCAAACATCCTACAATGCACAGCACAGCCCCTCACAACAAAGAATCATCCATAGTGTTGAGGTTGAGAAATCCTGATTTAGACGATGAGCACATTTTTTTGTAACAAAAAAGCCACAGGAGCATTTGTAAATGCAGATACACGTCTAGAAGGATACCCTGTTAAGATTTTTTTTGGTTTAATTTTGGTGATTTTTTTTTTGGTTTAACTCGACAACATAAAATTGGTACCTTGGGAAAAGCTTAGGGCCGACTTTCACTCCTTACTTTATGTACTTCCTTAATGATTCATTTTTAAAAACAGTAATTAGTAATAAATATATTTGTAATTGAAGCCAAGAAGGAAAAAAATTAAAGTGCAGCTCTCTTACATAGAATAGGTTGTCAAAACCACCATCTTTCTGGAAAACAAGTCCTTTTTCCTGCAGCAGCTTTATAGCATTCTTAAATATACTATGAATTGCCTTGGGAGTGGTGTCATTCTTAAAATCCACCTGTAGGAAGAGGAAAAAGGAAAAGAAAAGAAGAAAAGAAATAAGTCGCATCTTACAGCACCTGAGAGTAACTCCCTAGACCAACTGGTTTATGAATTCACCCAACAGGCTTTTCAGCTGCTGAGTCAAAAAGATTCATGCATGCACCGGCCTAGCACGATGATGTTGAAGGAGGCCTGGGAAGTTTGCTCTTGCAGGATCATGCTTGGTAACTGTTCTACATTTTAGTTGTGATTTTTTTTTGGTTTAATTCGACAACATAAAATGAAAAAGCAAAAGGACAATCTTCGATTTATTTTTTCTTATACAGAACCAAACATTGCATACATACTAGCTCATTTTTTTAAATTAAAATTGTGGCTATACACAACCTCTTCCTAAGGACTTCAAAGAATTTTACACACACTGAAATAATTTGGGGATTCTGGTATGTAGAAAGTATTAACTAATCTCCTTATTTTACACGGGGGACAATGGAGGCAAATTTTACACGGGGGACAATGGAGGCAAACAGCTGTACAGAGACCTGTCGAAGGTGGGTCCATGGGCTGATGGTGGACAGGGGTCCTCGAGTGAAGCAAGAACACCACATGGAAGGAACCTCTGCTGCGATCAGTTTGCTCTCTCCTCCATTTCAATATTTCTTCCCTTCTCTAAGAGAGAAGTTTGCCTAGAAAGGTCACCAGGTCATCCTATCTCTTATTCCCAAGGAAGCTGGGTTTCCAGCTATGCCGCCCCACAGTTAACTAGACTGCATGCTTCTTGCATCTGGGACTTCGCATTTCATCTCAGCCATCTCCCCAGCGGCACACAGTGGGTGACCAACAAAATATTTTTGTAATGAATGGATATAAATACCCTACTATAGAGGCTGTGTCCTTCTTATTCCATTGGGGATTTTTAGTTCATTCCTAAAACAAAGAAAGTGGTGAACAACAATTGTCCTTTAAGGTACAGATCCATTTTTGTTTTTTTGTGAGGAAGATTATCCCTGAGCTAACATCCATGTCAATCCTCCTCTTTTTGCTGAGGAAGACTGGCCCTGGGCTAACATATATTGCCAATCCTCCTCCTTTTTTTCTCAATTTCTCCCCAAAGCCCCAGTAGATAGTTGTATGTCATAGTTGCACATCCTTCTAGTTGCTGTTATGTGGAACGTTGCCTCAGCATGGGCGGACAAGTGGTGTGTCAGTGCGCGCCTGGGATCCAAACCCGGGCCGCCAGTAGCGGAGCGCGCGCACCTAACCACTAAGCCATGGGGCCGGCCCCAGTACAGATCCATTTTTAATGTGACAGAAATTTGTCAAGATATTAAAATGATCAGAGTGCCAAAGAAACATGGCAAAGCTTCCAAACAAGTGTTTGAAGGCAAAGTTCTAGCTCTAATGAAAGGTCATTAAGGAGGCAACCTAGGGCAGCACCCACAAATGCTGAAAAAGAGGTGTGTTTGAGATTTGCTGAGGACATTTCCTCAAAATGACAGAGAGAGGCAAGAAACCCCCAAATGGCCTCGAGTGTTGACAATTCCATCCCTAAAGAAATCTTCTCTTTCTAGAAGAGGCCTCCCAACAGGCATTGTTTTAATCTAATAGAACCTGGTGATGTTTCACAAACGTGGGCTGAAGAGGACAGTCTAACACTCAATTAAATTAATAGTCTAAGTTTTTCCTCAACAGAACAAGCTGGAGAATCTGGTCACTACAACATTAGGGCCTAAAAGTTAACAAACATTCCAGGTTATGACGCACCCATTCTCTGAAGGGAGGAGGCCAAGAAATATTTGATGACTCCCACTAGCAGAAAAGCTATTTGAGTGTGTTTAGAATAACACCTCACCTAGCAATCTGTAGCCACACATTTTTTTATCCGGGGGGCTTCAGGCAAAGCTGTTTTAAATTTTACACGAGTGCTCTTACTCAGGGGAAGCGCAATCAACCCAATATTGACTCCCCCACAAAACTTTATAACTACTTAATCTTTGTAATTCTAAGGAGATTTGGTTTTCTTAGTCAAATTAATACAAAGATCTTAAGGATTGAGTTTATTACATCTCTTACCAAGATAGAAATAAATTGGAAACTAACTAGAAATGATTGTTACATGATTATTTCCGTTATTAAAAATGACTCTTGGTTATCCCCAGCCCCTACCAAAGCCCAGTTTCTCCTCCCAGATTTGAGTAAGATCACTCAGCAGGAAGAGAGAGTGCTAGGCCCAAGAGATTAAGAGCCCAGTTTCAGCTGTGAACAAGAGCGACCTAACAGAAAAGGCTCACTGTAAATATAAACAAGATGTGAAGCTTCCTTTCCAAAAACATTTGCCTCAGCTGACCTCAGGACATACTTCCCTGCTGGTTCTAGAGACACAGTCTCAATGGTAAAGCCTCCAATCATCTCTTCCAGTCAGCAGCTTTTCCTAGCCTTGTGTCTTTCTTGCCTTTCTCTAAAGAGCAATGACAGACTCATCTGATTCAGGAAACCGAAAGTGCTCAGAGACTAAAACTCTGACGGGCTGACTGTGCTGAGCCTTCGCAGGCCTCTCCCCGTCACAGGTCAGGAACTGGGTGGATCTCTGAAATAAATACAGAGTCTTCATTCCCAAACAAACTCAACATTTATCCAGCTGTCAGAGAAACAATGGTTTCGCAAGGTCTGCTTATCAGGTTTCTGGATTTGCTAAGAAGGCCCACCGTGGAAAAAAAAGGGAGAAAACATTCAAACCCATGCCCCCCCTGCCCCTAAACTATAACATGATCACAATGATTTTTTGTGAAGCCTTCATCTGTATGACAACAGAAACTGCCCAAGGATCTAGGGTTTCACCACCATTGTAAAGCATCTTTAGTCTCCCAGGGTCTATTAAACAGAATTCAATTTAACAACACTGACCACCCCAACGAGAGCCAGGTCAGGGAATAATTCATAATTAATGGAAAAATAGTTTCCAAAGACAAACACAAATATAGCACCATATTCATTTCTTTTTAAACATACAGCACTGGGCAGACAGAAGTTTCTGCTCTAAGCATTTTCAAAAAGCTCCCCACGGATTGTTTTGAATGGAGGAGGCTTTTAGTCCTCAAAGAGTCCTCAAGTCTCTCAATTATAGCTATTGCAGAAGAACTGGTTCACAGGAAGAATATGGTCTTCGTTAAGCTTCAAAGTTTCCTTCCAAACATGCCAATAGAGTGGTCAGAAGTCCTCGGAGGCCAACTTGGCATTGAGCCTCCTCTAAATGATTAAATGAGAAGAAGGTCAATCTTGCTGTCAGCAGACAGCTGGAGAGCTACAACTGTTTAGAAGCAACAGTGGCACAGAACAAAGCCGCCAGTCCTGACCCTCTCTGCCTGGGTGTTTCCTGAAACAATATCCCTCACCTCCGAGTATGAAATCTCAGGTCACTGGGCACACAGCCTGGTGCCAGGAAGAGATAATTAGGTTTGTGAACGAAACTGAGAAGCAGTGGTCATGCCTGAGGGGTCAGGATGGGGACCTGGTATCTGTCCCACCAGAATACGAAGAATAACTTCCGTTACCTAATGCGAGTATTCACAGCAGCCCTGTTGGTAATGGTGATAGGCTAGAAAACATCTAAACAGTCCAGGCATGGAGAGACTGGTTAAATAAATTATGGTACATGTAACAAAAGATTATTACATAGTGGAAAATCTATATGTACGGCCAAGAAAGACTCTATAAGACATACTGTTCAATGAAAAGTTAGGTATAGATGAGTGTTTAGTGTGTTACCATTTGTGTAAAAAAGGGGATACAACTACTTTTAGTTTATATATGCACAGACCATCTCCGGAAAGATGTTCCTGAGACTAGTCATGGTGCCTGTCTCCAGGGAAACGGAGTGGGAGGGAGGATGGGAAGAAAACTTACTTTTGTGTGTGTGTGTGTGTGTGTGTGAGGAAGATTAGCCCTGGGCTAACATCTGTGCCCATCTTCCTCTAGTTTATATGGGACACTGTCACAGCATGGCTTAACAAGCGGTGCGTCGGTCCACGCCCAGGATCCGAACCTGTGAACCCCGGGCCACTGAAGCAGAGTGTGCGAACTTAAGCACTACACCACCGGGCTGGCCCCAAGAAGACTTACTTTTAACTGATATTTTTGGGGACCATCTGAAGTTTTTTAAACCATTCATTCCTTCAATCAACAAATAATTATTGAGAACTTACTTTATGCTAGCCCTGTTCTAGGCTCTAGTTCTAGAGAGCAAAGAACAAGACAGACAAGACCTCTGCTTTTATAGAATTTAAGTTCTGGTGGAAGAATAGGCAGGCAAACAAATAGCAGTGATATCGTGAGACATGAAAACAGAGTGATAACACAGTGAGGAAGCAGGTGGCTATCAGAGCAGCTGGCCAGGGAGGGCAACAAGGTGACATGTAAGCAGAGATCATCCCCCGGTGGAATAAATGAAATAAATAAATATGAGTTGTGCTACAACAACAAAAGCCCTAAGAATCGCAATGAAAGGGAAAGCCTAAAACCACAGTCTCAAATAATTCTTAATTCCAAGCAAATAAGTAAACACCAAGCATCTTAAGTTCACCTGTAACACTAGGGGTAAAAATATGGGGACAGCTCTTTCCAGGAGGAATAAAAAATTACTTGAGAGTTACTTAAAATTTTTACTTATAAATCAGACTGCATCCAACTTGGTCTTTATTCAAACTTTGAACACACAACAGCTTAACCTTATTCTGAAGAAGAGAGAGCAAGTCATTAAAAACCTTGGTTCAAGTTCAAGAATCATCTTGCTGATCACTAAATAATCTTGGAAGGATAATTACCTCTTCTCATCTACTTCTCCCTCATTTGGCTCCTGCTGAGATTAAATATCCATCTCTGTAAGTACTAAGTACTATGAACCTTAGACTATTTTTTTTTTCTACCCAAAGATTAAGCAAGGAGGGGAAAAGGGCAGGTCCATTTTCATTTCAAATTCTTAGTGGTCAGTGACCTGTCCAGAATAGAAACGACATGTGATAGAACCATAACTTCTATTCCCTGGGCCCACTCTGTCTGTCTTAACGCCACAGTGACACCCACCCACATCCTTCAGCAGCAGATTTGGGGCAGGGGACTCAAGTCCTCACATGGGCATGCCGCACTTACTTGCTCAGAGCAGGCGCTGTGAATCACAGGCTGGTTGGCAAGGGACAGCAGAGAGTCCACCATTTCCAATTCCTGCTGGTAAAAGGTTTGCACTCTGTTCTTCACAAGGAATTCTTTGGCTTTTTCACTCAGCAAACATGTGAGACTGGCAAGGTCCAGGGCTCCGGGATTGCTGCTGAGGGAAAGTTTTTTTTTTGTGTGTGTGTGTGCGTGTGTGAGGAAGATCAGCCCCGAGCTAACATCCATGCTAATCCTCCTCTTTTTGCTGAGGAAGACTGACTCTGAGCTAACATCTATTGCCAATCCTCCTCCTTTTTTTCCCCAAAGCCCCAGTAGATAGTTGTACGTCATAGTTGCACATCCTTCTAGTTACTGTATGTGGGACGCGGCCTCAGCATGGCCGGACAAGCGGTGCGTCGGTGCGCGCCCGGGATCCGAACCCAGGCCGCCAAGAGTGGAGCACGCGCACTTAACTGCTAAGCCACGGGGCCGGCCCAGGAAAGTTTTAAAAAGCCCTGCAGAAAACTATCACCTTTGTTCCTTTTTGGTGTGCATAAAACAGAAACCTAGGAAACGCAACACTAAATTGATGCTTGCTTTTGACATAAAGGGCAATTCATACAGTGAACATTGTGTAGTTGTTTAAAAGGACGAGACAGAACTACGGGAACTAAGACACTTATGACAGATTAAAAAGTCAAGCTACAGAATAGTATGTAAGGTATGGTGCCATTTTTGTTAAAAAGCAAATAACAACTCACAAAATTTATGGGTGAATATTCGTGCTCGTGTATGCACAGAAGAAAAAAGCCTGAAAGGATACCCATGAACCCATGAATAGTGGTAATCTCTGGGGAAAGTTACTGATGTGGGAGACAGGGAAATGGAGAATTTTCACTTTTTACTTTATACAGGACTACAGATTGGGAGTTTTTTTAATATAATTTTTTTTTAATATGTAATACATACACATGCTAAAAAAACTAAAGGGCACACAGTGACAAGTCTCCTTTCTATCATCTTCCCAGTTCCCACCTCCTAGGCAGCACTATTATTGATTCTCTATCTCCTCCCAGAGTTCTTTGATACATATACTAGCAAATATGCATATACTCTTACTCCTCCTGTTTTTGTTTTTTCAGGTTTTTTTTGGTGAGGAAGACTAGCCCTGGGCTAACATCTGTTGCCAATCCTCCTCTTTTTGCAGAGGAAGACTGGCCCTGGGCTAACATCCGTGCCCATCCTCCTCTATTTTATATGGGATGCTGCCACAGCATGGCTTGGTAAGTGGAGCATAGGTCCGCGCCCAGGCTCTGACCCTGCAAACCCTGGGCCGGCGAAGCAGAGCGCGAGAACTTAACCACTACGCCACTGGGCTGGCCCCATTACTCCTGTTTTTTTTCTCTCTCCACACAAGACAGTAAATTCACCCCTGGTTGAGAGCGACTGGTATATTTTGTGGTTCTTATTATGATGTGTCATGGTGTAGCGTTTTGATTATGATGTGCCTTTGTGGGGTTTTCTTCAGATTTCTTGCCTTGGGGCTCACTGAGCTTCTTGGATCTGTGCGTTTATAGTTTTTATCAAATGTGGAAAAATTTCAGCCATTATCTCTTCAAATATTTTTTCTCTGCTCCCTCCACTCCTTCAGAGACTCCAATTACACATACATTTTCCTTACAACAATCTGAGAACATCTGTCCTATTACCATCTTTACTTTACAGATGAGGACACTGAGGTAGACAGAGGGTGAGTGGACTTGCCCAGCGTCCTACGGTGAGTAAGTGGATGGTTTAGGATTTGAACCTAGGCCCATGTCAGCATCTGGGCTCCCACTGCTTGGCCTTACTGCTGTGGTCACCTCTTCAGCCACTGCTGAAGTGACAGGCCATAACTTACCTTAGTGCCTCTTCTTTCTCTAGGGCCGGGCTGCGGAAAGGCTGGTCATAAACTTTCCTGTAGATATTGGGCAGCTCAAGCATCCTTGCAATTTGAATGTTGCACACTGGATCGTCCACCTTATCTAACAAGCCATGGGGGAAAATATGCCACAGAAATGACACTGAGGTCAGTTCTTTTCCACGTCCAAATTGCTGCTAGGACAACAGTAAATGAGGAACTCGGTGGGTTTACTTCCTGGTGGGTGCCCAGGGATCACACAGTCTAGATGCACTAAAGGTTTCCCAGTCATTCTGCGACGGGGAATGCAGTGCCCTAGGCACCACAGGCTTGGCCAGGAGTAGACAGGACTACAGAAAGCACATTAGTGTATTCACTCATCTGTTACAGTGTGGACAACGGGGCCATCCTTGCGATTTCCCAGCAAAACCAGCCAGAGGAGCATAAAGAGCAACACTCATTTGATACAGGACTGTCCTAGTTCTGATGAGCTGTTTTCTTTCAAAGTTAATGGACTGAATGGTTTTTAAGAAATCTCCATCATTTTGAAGAGTGTGAACACTCTGCCCTAAACAGATTGACACTTATAACCTCAAAGTACTTTAGAAACTCTACTATGTTGTCCAAATAAATTTGCCAACTACATATAATAAATCATTTGTTTTCTTTCCCAATTTACTTATAGTTACCTCTCTTGAAAATAAAATTAAGAAATGCTGCTTTTCTCAAGAAAGCATGTTATGCAATATTATTTCCTCCATTAAATAGAGTTAAAACTTTTTATCTGAACTTGTTAGAAGTTTCACTTTTAGCTAAACAAGAGTTTACTTGACACACACCCAGAAAAACAACCAATTTGGCAGAAATATCTTGTGCTTACAATACGCAGTGGCATGAATTTCTCGCTCTTCTCTGTACATGCGGACATAACCTCTGATCCGGATAACGTCCCCAATTTCTATCTTTGTTTGCTGCTCAATGGTCTCTTGCAGCTTCTTAAACTGTGAGGTTAAGCTCAGCTCTCTTGCTGTTGGAGCAGCTATAGTCGTTACGGGCCGGAAAGAAAGAAAGAGAGAAATGCATAACACAATCACTCCACCACATTTGTAAGACAGTTTTGGGGTAAGACCAACATAAGACATTTATTTATTCTACTTCTGATTAGTTGCTCTGCTATAAGAAATATGCATAACCTCTTGAAATCCTCTATTGAATAAAAGGCATAAGCTATGATTATTCAAAAGTAGAGTGAAGGGGTTGGAGTCTAGAGGGAGGCTTGACAACCCAAGTGGGCGAGTTCTGACATGGCACCAACATCTTTCTTACCCCTGCATCGCCAGTGCAGTCAAAGGGCTCGAGAGGTCCCGAGCCAAATTCTGTTATGAGTCCAGCCGGGTTTGGTGGCAACAGCTCTAAACAACTCCTTCAAGTGTCCTTGCAGGGTAAGAAAAGCCTGGCATAAGGGGAAAGGGACCCAAGAGTTTCTATTTGTGGTTCTGCTTATTTCCTACTTTGGTGCTCAACACCCTAAGCTCTCATCTCTCATCTTTGTTGGGTAACTAGGCTAATCTCTCTCTGTCTCTCTTTCTCTCACGCACGCTCACGCGTGCACACACAGCACTTAAAATTATAAACTTAAGCAACTTCAGGGTGAAAAGAACCCAATGCACATTCAATTCTAAATAATTTATATCATTCAAATTTACTTCCAAATTGTATTAGTTAAATAATAAGAATAGCCACAAATGTATGGGTACCACAGGTGCGGTTCGAAGGACTTTACAATATATTAGAGCACATCTAATCCACACAACCACTCCTATTTATTATTAGCCCCATTTTACAGATGAGAAACTGAGTCACAGAGCAGTCAAGCAACTTGCCCAAAGAATAACAACTAATTAGCAACAAAGCTGGAGTTTGAACCCAGGCAGTCTCTGACTCCAGAGCCTTCCTGCTCATTCTTTATTCTCTGCTGCCTGCCCCATGAGTAGCCTCACATTTCCCATAGTTACAGCTGGTGTGTGTCAACAACTGTGTTCTGATTTTCTGCCTAGCATAATTTCAGATACACATATGCTCCACAGAATCTATACAACTCAGCATTTTAAATAACAATATAGCATGTGAATATGCCACAGTTTGTTTAGCTAGTCTCATTAAATATTTCATCCTTCTTCTCCTTTTTATACTTTTTTATTTTGGTTTTTATCACTAGCACTGTATGGGGCTTAGAGGTCAGCACTTGGGTAATGGAGGCAGACAGAGCTGGCTTAAATCTCAGGTCACTTTTTTTTTCTGCTGAGGAAGATTCACCCTGAGCTAATATCTGTTGCCAGTCTTCCTCTATTTTGCATGTGGGTTGCCACCACTGCATGGTTGCCGACGAACGGCGTAGGTTTGCTCCCGGGAACCAAACCCAGGCCACTGAAGCAGAGTGCACTGAACTTCACCATTAGGCCACGAGGCCAGCCCCTCAGGCCACTTCTTACCAGCTGTGTGACCCTGGGCAGGCTGCTTAACCTCACTGTGCCTCAGTTTCGTCAGTTATGCAATGGGGATAACAATCGAGTCCACCCCATACACAGATTGTTGTGTGTGATCTAGGCCAATCCTTACATCATGAGCTCAGCACAGGCCAGATCCACAGGAAACAGTCAATGAATGTCAGCTATTGTGAGAATGAATAATTAAGCCCTCCAGACAAAATTATTTTGTTTTCTTTGGGGTCTTGCTTTGGGGATTGCTGGATAGAAAAGTACAAACAGGTTTACAGCTCATTACATGTTGTCAGAATGTTTGCCAGAAAAAAACAATCAAACCATTCTCTTTTTATAAGGTGTCACCAGCAATGCATGTATGCTCACAGCTCCTACACTGGCTTCAGTCACTGGATTTTTTAACATTTTAAAAATACATAATGAGGGGCCGGCCCCGTGGCTTAGTGGTTAAGTGTGCGCGCTCTGCTACCGGCGGCCCGGGGTTCGGATCCTGGGCACGCACCGACGCACCGCTTGTCTGGCCATGCTAAGGCCGCGTCCCACATACAGCAACTAGAAGGAGGTGCAACTATGACATACAACTATCTACTGGGGCTTTGGGAGAAAAAAAAAAAAAATGAGGAGGATTGGCAATAGATGTTAGCTCAAAGCCGGTCTTCCTCAGCAAAAAGAGGAGAATTAGCATGGATGTTAGCTCAGGGCTGATCTTCCTCAAAAAAAAAAAACAAAAAACAAAAAAAACATAATCATTCCATAACATTTTATTTTGCTTTTAAATTGCCAGGGAGGCTGTGTGTTTTTATATAAGTTGATCTACTCTCCGTATTTCCTTACGTATAAGCTCTTCATCTCTTTTGAACACTTTATGTTAATTTCTGAAAAATTTTTAAGGAAGGTTTATCAGTTATGCTTATTACATCCAATCTCCCATTCTATTGCTTTCTTTTTTATGTTTATTTGATTTCATTGTATTACATAAAAGTTTGACAAAATCTTTTAGTCTATCCCTTGTCACTGATGATAACTTTCAGTGTTCTAACAACTACGGACTTATGAGAGCTTAACATACATACCCTCATATTTTTAGGGATAAATATACAACTCTGTCTTGTTTGGGTTATTTTATTTAAGCTGCAAGATAGGCATCGTGGTTACCTCTTTTTTTTTTCTTTTTTTGTGAGGAGATCAGCCCTGTGCTAACACCTGCCAATCCTCCTCTTTTTTTGCTGAGGAAGACTGGCCCTGGGCTAACATCCGTGCCCATCTTCCTCCCCTTTATATGGGACGCCGCCACAGCATGGCCTGCCAAGTGGTGCGTCGATGCGTGCCCGAGATCTGAACTGGCAAACCCCGGGCCGCCGCAGCAGAGCGCGCGCATCCAACCACTTGCACCACCGGGCCGACCCCTGGTTACCTCTTTTTTAATATTGTTATCTACCTGAACCAACAACATTTGTTAAATGCTGATTTATTTCATTTGTATTGTTGTATTATTTCTGGCTTGTCATATGTTAGGGTTCATATAATGGAATGAATCTCTCTTGTGGTCTATTGATGAAATTTTCTGTTTTTTAATCTAATACAACTTAGATAACCATGGCTCTGTAATGTGCAAAGCATTACTTTTAACACATCTACCATACCAAGGGAAACAGCAACCTAGGGAGCATGAACTTTGTATACCTAGGAAGAATGCTAGGAATCTAGACAGAATCAGCGTTAATGTTACTCAGCTTACTGGGTTTCTTCAGAAAATACCCAAGTATTCCTTTTTATTCCACCTGTGTTCCTATCCCCAAGTCCTCTTCTACTTAGGTTGAATTTGAAACGTATTTATAAATTTCACTGCCATTATTCAGACACTATAGGTAATAACAAACGTCTCATACAGTACTGTTAAATGATCAGACTGACGCTGGTCTGAGAAAGAGAGGCCCAGCCTTCATTTAAAGGGTGAGCCAAACTGCGGAAAGAAGGGCTCAAGCTGTGTGATTTAATGAATATAATCAGATGGCTGGAGCCTGACAAAATTTCACTTTAAGTAGTCTATTCCACCCTGAAAGATAAACCCCCTTTAAAATTCTAATATTAAGGGCCAAGTTTTCTTAACTTTCCTCATAAGCTAAGTCCAAATCGTACATTCAACGTGAAATTTACAGGAGTTAATATTATATTCTTATACCTTAACTGACTAGAACATGATTTTGACTCAGACTAAATTTTATTAAAAAAAATTTGTCTTCATTGGCTACTTTCCAGTGGAAAGCTTTAAAACTGAGGGAAATTAAATTAGAAGGGAGAATGAGCTAGCGTGAACAACTTAAAAATATCACTTTATATATAATGAGAAGAGAAATCATTTCCAGGCTTTTTCCTCGTGTTCTTACCCTCTCTTTTTATTCTCAAAGCAATTTCCAATTAAGGACATCCACTGTGATTGTTCATCTATTCATCTACTTACAGATATTTTGAAAATCTCACTCTCAGGATTAATAGCCATTTTATCTAAAAAAATTACTAAGAGTTAATAATATTCCTGATGATGTCATTTCTTAAAAAGAGAGTTGATTTAGAAAGGTAAAACAACATCTAAATCAGGAGTCTGCAAACTACAGCCCACAGGCCAAATCCATCCACAACCTGTTCTTGTAAATAAAGTTTTATTGGAACACAGCCTGTTTGTTTACGTATTGTCTACGGCTACTTCTGTGTTACAATGGCAGTGTTGAATAGTTGAGACGCAGACCATTTAGCCCAAAGCAGAAAACATTTACTATCTGACCCTGTACAGAAAAAGTTTGCCAACCCTGGGTCTGAAACAAGTACGCATATTCAAACTACACCTTCTGGCTGAAGATTGTGACACTACAACAACCACAAATCAGCAAATGATTTTAATACCCCCGACACATATGAAAATTCAAATATCTGACTGTGTTATAGGTTTATTTCTCGCCTGTGAGATATGTGCATGAAAACCTGTTGTCTCCCTTAATTTTTTTATCTACAAAGCTTCCTAAGCAAAGCAGTGCCATTGATTTAGATGTTCCCAATTTAGGAAATGGGAACACCAAAGTTATGTGAAACTGATGGTCAAATTCTAAATGTAAATATGCCAGAAAATTAAGCAAAGGAGCGTGCCACTGGTCAGTATAGTCAAAGCAGGAAGTTGAGATTCTGACAGATAACGCCAAAAAGGAAAGAAGAAACCATTCCAAGTGTTACACAGTCTCACCTTGCATAACACGAGGAGATAGATAATAGATGTTAGATATGAGAGCAGGCAATATTTATTGAATAACTCTACTGTGTATGGCACCATACTGCATACGTTGTAAAACAGAAAAACAAAGTCCCAGTTTCTATAGCTTCTCTAGAACCAAAAATATACCAATATAGCACAATATTTTTTTTAATATTATGAACTTAAGTAACTTAAACTACTTAAAAACTATTAAAATATACTCATTTTCCAAATGCTGTTTCAGTTATAGTCAATCTGTTCAATATAAAATTTTAAAGTTCTTTTTCAGTTTCTATTATTTCATGGTTAACTTCAAAGGAATCCTATCTTACCTTCTCAACAATCTTAGAATTCCTGGTATATTTGTTTGAACATGTAGAGATTTCAGAAAATCTGGATCATAGTAGCATGGAAATTAGTGGCAACCACATACAAGGAAAAGTCTTCAAAATCTTCTTTGATCAAGTGACTACGCCCAGAGCAAGAGGATTCTGACCTGACTGGCAATTAAGCTAAAACATCTTGACTTGCGTAATAACTGGCAGGGTAAAAATGAAATGCTGAAACTCTTGGTAATCTATTCACATTGTCATAGGCTTAGGAGGAATTGAGCACCAAAGAAACAGGAGAAAGAAAAACAACCAGCTATAGTATCAGTTTGCAGAGTAGCCGAAGCTCCGGGTACAGCGCTTCAAGTTGATCAATGTAATTCCCCAGTAGATAAATGTGAAAATTCAGCATTACAGCTGTTCTGACGCGCTACCCTAGGTAAAATCCATTGATTAGCTGAAAAGTAAAAAGGCATCACAAACAAAATTACCTGATGAAGAGTTGGTATTGCTCAACTTTTTCCAGCAGATGCAGTTTATAACTCCAGTGCTATCGTCCACTGCAAAAGAAGTGCAAAGAGTAGAAGAGAGATTTGGGCGTTGCTGGTGAATTAGCATGTTGTCATTGCATTCAGTCATACTGAAAGATGACATTTTTCACTAGCCTAATTGGGCAAATCCCTTATCAAACTCTCCTTCCACCTTTAGAAATAATCTCTCACCACACACCAGTGGGAACTGCTTGTCTGCAATGTCAATGTAATCCACGAGCCCAGTGGGATGTAGCCAACATTTCACTTGCCTTTCCTCAAGGAATGATTCTTGTCTACACGTCTCCCAAAAATGGTGTCCACAGGAAGTTAAGTGCAAAACTCTCAATGACTACTATCATACAAAATCAGCCTTGCTCTCCTACTCTGCAACAAGAGAGCATCCCATGGTCTGTGGTTAGAGGCACTCAAAGCACCGCCTTCTGCCATCATTTGCTCATTCTCTAGCTCGCTGATTTAACAACACAAGGCATCCCAAGTCATTTGGCCTGGGCTTCTCTTTGAAAGAGCTTCTGCCCAGTCCTTACCACTGCAGGGGATGTAAGGAAAGCCAAGTACATCAAGAGGGGCAAAGTTTTATTTTCATAATAGAAAATAATTACATCTTGGTCACACATACGATACTGGTCTGGATTATTTTATCCCTACCGCAAAAAATCAAAGAATTCCCACTGCACTTGGATTTATAACCATAGAGGAATTTGGAGGTGTTTGCTAGGGGGTGATAGGCATTTTCTCTTTGCCTAATTTCTGACAAACTCAGAACAGAGGTTGCTAAACATGGGGTCAGTGGGTTTAACGATTTTTTAAAAATCATCAGTTACACTGCTGTAAAAGCACATTTAATATAGAAGAAACTTAAGGCAAAAATTTTTTTATTGCTGGTTTAAATCTGTGTAGAAAGCAGAAGCTGAGAAGAATACTTCTTATACTAAAATAAATTCTAGATGGATTTTATTTCATTAAATGTAATACAGGTAAACTTAAGAAGATGAGAAGAAAATATGGATGAATACTTTTTAACCTTGGGCTTATAGTTGGTAGGGGGACACTTTTTTAAGCAGACCTGAAAATCAGAACTCACTTTAAAAAGTCTGATATATTTGACTAACTAAAAACTAATAATGCATAGCAATTTTCCAAATGATGGAGTTAGTGTCTTAATATATAAAGAGCTCAGGCAAATTAATAAGGAAAAGAACAAGACCACAAGAGAAAAACTAGGAAAGAAAAAGAATATGCAATTCATAGAAGATATAAAAATGGCCAATAAACATGTCAGTACATTAAATTCACTAGTTACCAGAAAAAAAGAAGCAAATTTAAATAATTTCTCAACCACCAGAATGACAAATATTAAAACTACTGACACCCTCATATGCTGTTAGTGGGAGTATAATTTTGTACCAAATTTCTAAAGAGCAAGTTTCGAAATATGTATCAAATTTTGAAATGTATATATCCTTTAACTTAGCATTTACTTCCAGTAATTTACCCTGAGGAGAAAAATAGAACAAATACACAGATATACAGATCTTGTATAAGGCTGTTCATTGCAATCTTGTTTATATTACTGCAAGTTGGAAAGAACCTAAATGTTTATAAATATGGAATTGGTTAAATAAATTACAATGGCATAGCATATGAGCATAAAAAGTTATAACGAAGATCCATGTTCATTGCTGTTAAAAGATATTCATACCTCATTATAAAACAGAAATCATATATATTATCTTATATATCACCTAATTTATGTAAAATATTAAATAGTGTGTTTTGACAGAAATGATTTTAAGACATTAAAACGCTGATAGCAGTTTCTTTTGGAGTATGGGGAAGGAAGCACATATTCAATGTATACACTGACTGAAAGCCTAATTCCAGAAATATTAAGACAAAGAAATATGCAAAATAGTAATGAGGAAATAAGGCATATCTATACTTCTTCAATATTAGGACCAAGTGAGAAATATTAGGAAGGATGTTCACCCAAACATTGACACTGTTTTTGTCTGATTTATAGGTTTCACATGAGTTTTATGTACTTCATTAAAATTTTCTCTAGCTTAAAATTTTTTTTATAATGAATAAGTATCATTTTAAGAAGGAAAAAAATCAATTAGGACATTCTGAATTTAAAAAAATGTATGACACCTCTAGGCACACCACTTCTCTGGACAGTTTAAAATCTTGATTTATAATGGAAAGTCAAAAAATATTAGCACATGAACATTTGTTCTAGAAAATATGAGGACATCCCGGTCTTGACTGTAGCCTCCCAGGATTCTAGGTCTGAGCTTGAGTTGCTGCCAGGTGCTCTGCGTGCTCAGGGGACCGCCAGCAAACCCTCTGACTTCCTGGCTTATAACCTCCCCTGGCAGACCCTCTCCTGGCGCCCTGAGGTCTGGCTGCCGGAAATGTCCCGGAAGGAGAGCATCCTTGCAGTGCTGCACAACGTCCTCCCTGGCTGGGCAGCACCGCCTGGGCCGCCGGCCTTTTGTTTCAGCCATGGGCTGAGTCAGTGTGAGCAGGAAGCACCCCCAGCATAGGCTTGCGGTGAGTCAGGCGGAGCAGGACCCAGGACAGCAGGAGCGGCCGCTTGGCAGGTGGCCCAGGAGCCAAGCTGGGCCTGAGGACAGCAGGGAGAATGCAGCTCTCCCCTGAAGAGGCCTCACAAGAATTTAAGTAGCAAAAGTGTTTCCACTCTCAATTACTTCGACCTTCAGATGCTTTTCATTTTCCCATAGCCCACAGATGTGTCATGCTCTCACGACATCCACTCTAAGGGAAATGTTTACATATTGCTTTCATCTTTTTATTACGGGAAAGGGGTTAAGTGAAGCCCCTTTACGTCATAGGCATAATATCTGGCTTGGTTCTAGGGCCAGGACTGATGTCCTCAAACAGCCTCATTTATCTGGTCCAAAAAACAGAAAATTAAAAACCAGATACAGCTGATTTTTTTGGGGAGTGGGACATGGGGAAGAGAAAAATCAAACTGAATTATATGGAGACTATTCAGCACAGTGGAGTCAGTAAACAGATTGGACCCACGAGTGCAACCTTGAGCAAGTAAGCGAGCCTTAGTTTTCTCATCTACAAAATGGCAATAAGGGTCTGGCCTGGTGGCACAGTGGTTAACTTCTGGTGCTCCGCTTCAGCAACCTGGGGTTTGCAGGTTTGAATCCTGGGCGCGGAACGATGCAGCGCTCATCAAGTCATGCTGTGGTGGCATCCCACGTGCAAAATAGAGGAAGATGGGCAGAGACATTAGCTCAGAGCCAATCTTCGTCAGCAAAAAGAGGAAGATTGGCAACAGATGTTAGCTCAGGGCCAATCTTCCTCACCAAAAAAAAAAAGAAACAAAATGGAAATATGTCCTTTCTATTTCAAAAGATTAGGGGGAGAATAACATGCAATTATCATGTAAAAATGCTTTATAAACTGAAAGAGGGCCGGCCCCGTGGCTTAGCGGTTAAGTGTGCACGCTCCACTGCTGGTGGCCTGGGTTCGGATTCCGGGCGAGCACCGACGCACCGCTTCTCTGGCCACGCGTGAGGCCGCGTCCCACATACAGCAACTAGAAGGATGTGCAACCACGACATACAACTATCTACTGGGGCTTTGGGGGACAAAAAGGAGGAGGATTGGCAATAGATGTTAGCTCAGAGCCGGTCTTCCTCAGCAAAAAGAGGAGGATTAGCACGGATGTTAGCTCAGGGCTGATCTTCCTCACACACACAAAAAAAATAAATTAAAAAAATAAATAAATAAACTGAAATATACTATTATTTCATCATTGGTATTTGGAGAGGAAGTACCATATTGTACTAAAGATAATGTACTTGCCCACAGCTGGGTATGCTGTAGGAACTTAGCGAATGCTTGTTTAATTGTCTGGAGAAAAACAGAACCAATATCTTTGGGTAAAATGAAGCAGAGAAGAGATCCAGTATGGGGATGCCTGACAAGATGATCTATTTCAGAGTTTTAAAAAAATACATGCTGGGAAAAAGCAGAGGGCATGAGAAATCTCACCTCTCACATGTTATTTTATAAGCACAAGATAATTATCCTCAGGAAAATGAATACATGTGGAAGAAATGCAATGATCTTGTTATCTGTAAATTATCAATCACGCACAGACTGCCAACGAAATGTTTTTGGTCACCCGGTTCAACTGCCTTCTGTCTTTCCCCAAGCAGAGCCAGAACACAAATCCAAGGCAACACCACAAGAGTGACAATGTCAGTTACAGCAAAGGTTTGGAATTCAAAGTTAAGATTCCCACAAAATATCTAGTGTGGCCTCTTAACTACAGAGAATCTTAAAGCTGCACAAGGCAATGTACTAAAATGCTTATACTAAACTCAATTAAAAAAAAATCATGGCGCTGGCCCCGTGGTGTAGTGGTTAAGTCCGGCACGCTCCACTTCAGCAGCCCAGGTTCACAGGTTCAGATCCCGGGCGCAGACCTACACCACTCATCAAGCCATGTTGTGGCTGCGACCCACATACAAAATAGAGGAAGACTGGCACAGATGTTAGGTCAGGGCTAATGTTCCTCAAGCAAAAAAGAGTAAGATTAGCAACAGATGTTAGGTCAGAGCATCTTCCACACCAAAAAAATTAAAAAATCAAGACCCATGACACTAAAATTATATTCTAACAATTCGCTGGTATCCAAACTACAGAAACCCTTTATTTAGTTTCCATCATGAGGGAAGGGAGATTTTCTGATAGTGGATATTTACTCCTTCGAGTACCAGAAGACTTTTTTTTTTTAACTGTTCTGGACATAAATCTTATAAATTATTTTTTACACACCTCCTTGCCTTCTTAAAGAGTCTACCTTAACATTAATCTGGACTTTTCTTTTTAAAGTTATCAATATAAACATATATTACCATCCTTTGCTATTTATAGCTATGCCCTCAGGTATCACGTGTCTGTCCCTGATCAACCAGTGAGTCCAGATTGCCGTATTTTAATTCTTTGGCCTCCTAACTCCCCAGCAGCTGTCACTTGACAGTATTCGTCAGTATCATTCCTCCCTGTTGCCTTGTACACTTAGCCCATGTCGGTGGCTCCAAAGGGCTCCCAACAGACCAAAGTGCATGGGGTTTGTGAGAGTCCCTAGCTGCTCTGAAAGGCTGAGGTTGTTTCAAATTCAACATTCAGCTAAGTGGGGTTCTTCCACATAAACTCAGTGTCAGACACAATTGTTCTTACCTCCATAACTGTAGAAAGCATCTCTTTCTCTCACTCCAATTACAGTTCCCAAGACATCTACCTGCTTTATTGGATGTCCGTTGTAAAAAAATACACCTGAAATTAAAAAAAAGGCAAAGTCTATACAATGGATGACTACAGTTTCTCCTTCATTAACGTTAACTGTGGGGGTGGATGTCACAACTCAGTGGTATGCTGCTTGCTGAACTTCCAGACTTAAGAATCAGTCCTTGACAAATGGCAAGCCCCAAGAAATGCAGATGTCTTTTCCTCAAGGGTCATAAGTAGCAAGCCTGGCTTTAAAGAAGCTTGTACTAGTGCAGAAAAGAGAAAACCAGTGTTGCCCAACCGGATTTGGTTAATCTTCTTTGCACTTGTAAAAATAAAGTGTACCTCCCCGGAGAACGCTCACAAGGGGCCTGGAAACAGTTATCATGTCATGTGACCACACACAGTACTGTGTCTCGAGGGACTGGAAAAGGAAAGAGAGAGGAAACCACGAGAAAGGTTTCTTTGGCTTCTTTACTGGTGCTTTTCTAGGAAACCAGTCATCATTTCTATGAATTAGCAGTTAACACTTTTTTTTTTTAAAAAAGAGAAATAATTAGGTTACAAAACACTACCCTCTGGGGCCAGCAGATTACAACCCAAAAACTTCTCTTTTTAAAACTCTCTTTTCAAAACCTAGACGGCAGATGCCAGCAAGCAGGTTCCTGCCAGAGGAGAAACCTGAGAGGACAAACCCTACCCACTGACCCTGAAGGCCTTTTTGGACTCAGGGACAGGACACAGACAGAGGGACTCCCGGCAGGGGTGAGTCCCTGATTCCATCCCGAGGTCCCGGTGCTGTCCGGGCTCCTGCAGAGCTTCCCTCTTGTGGTCCCCCCATATCCTCACCTGAACTCCCTATTGTGGCTTCAGCTACCTGCGTTGTGTTCCTGTCACTGCAGCTAAAAAGTCCTGACCAAAATCCTCTCTGGCCTCTTTTTTTTCTCCCCACGATGGCTGAGTTTTTCCCTTTCAGAAAGAGGCCATGAACTTTTACTTGGTGACTTCCTTTTTAAATAAACATATGAACGTAAGCAAAGAAACAGTTATCACTGCAGGCATTTGGCCACCTCCCCCGCTCCCCACGCAGCCTGGTCAGAGTTCTGTTCACCTCCACGGGGTACCCGCAGCCTGAACCCCGATGCCCTTCAGAATCCCCAGACTGGCCTCCACTGACGGTTCTCGTTTCCTGTGTGGATAAAGGGGCTGGGGATGAGTCGCTCACAGCAGAGTCCCAGGGGATGGACAAGCAGGCTCTGAGCCTCAGTCATTCAGAGATTTTAGGAGAGTGAGATGTGGTTTGAGGGGAAAAAAAAACGATGGTAAATTTAGCCAAAAGAAGGTCCCCCTCCCTTGGCAGCGGCACCCTTCTAAAGATGACTTAGTGGACTGGAGACTGTGCCCGGGGCAACCTTGGGGGCCACAGCAGGAAAGGAGCCTGGATCACTGTGTCATCCCCAGAGGAGGGGTGTCCCCATCCAGGAACGCTTGGATTGAATGGGGACAGACTGGCTCCACAGAAAATCCATGAAATTTTAAGAGCAGGACAGTTCCAACTGACTTCTCCAGAGCTCTTACGATTGAAATCCTGGTCTCTTAGTTACTACCTTTGGTGAGACCCTGGGGTCCTCTGCCCCTGCCAGCCTACACTGACCAAACACAGAGGAAAGAAGGCCTTCGGAGGAGGGAGATCCCTACAGACCTTTGCAGACAAGCTCAGGCTTCCCTGTGGCAGAAGGAAGTTTAAATCGGGAGAACGAGCCTCCTGCAGGGCCGTGGGCATGGAGTCCTCCACTGAAGTGTACACTCGCCCTCCCCAGTACCTGACATGGCTGTGGCATGGCACTGCTTTGGTTCTCCAGGTTTGTTGTAGGGCTAGGTGGGGCTTAGAGCAGCCTGAGCTTCAGGCTGGGCTCTGACACCAGTCAGACCTTTTTGCTTTGTCAAATGCACTGTAGAGGTAATATCACTTTCTATTTGTGCACTGAGCAAAGTTAGAGAGAACTGTTTTCTAGAACCTGACTGGCCGCCCCTCCCTGAGCCCAACTCACGGTCTGTCCTGGTTGCCAAGCACTTGTTTGCATGAGAGATGGAACACTCCGCAGGCTTTCTTGTGGCCAGTTGTGGCCCACAGAACATTGCCAACTGGAGGCAGAGCCCTGGAGCCCTTCGGGCCCATGGAGGGCCTACTGCCTGCCCTGAAAATGTGTTTCCAGCTGGTCCTGGAGCTGCCGTGGGGTGCTCTGGGGTTATGTCTGAAAGCTTGAGAGAGTCCCAGGACTCTCTGGGTTTCCCTGGGACACCCTGGTAAGTGCTGCTGTGGGGGTTTTCACAGTAAAGAGCCGATACACTTTAAGAAGGGGAAAAAAGCTAGCCAAAAGGTGTTCCGCCTGGGTTGAAGCATACGGAAAATGCAATGAGAAGACTGGACTAACCACACAAGCCAACGGAGTCCTCGAGTCACCACAGTGGAGACCAGTCCTCCAATGTTACAAACTCTGTATTGGGCAACACTTGATAAAGACCTAACAGGTCTTCACTTGAGGACACAACAGACTTTCTTGGAAAGGGACAGAGAAGGGAGCCCCCTAAACTTTCATCTCATAGACTGCCAGTGGCTACTTTGAGGACAGACACAGTCACTCAAAGACACAGGAAATCCTTCCAATCTCAAATGACTGATGCAAAAAAAAAAATCTTAAAAGCACCAAAGAACAAGGGAGAACAAATTTAGAAGAAAATATGGGAGAAGTCAAGATGGCAGCGTAGGCAGACTCTGAACTCACCTCCTCCCGCAGACACAGCCAATTTACAACTACCCATGGAAAAATTACCCCTGAGACAGAAGTGAAAACTGGATAAGAGGAACTCCTGCAACAAAGGACAATCCTAGTTGAGGTGGAAGAGGCAGAAACTCCCTCCTGGAGAGAAAAAAACGCCACCTTCACAAGCGGCCAGCTTCACGGACGCCCAGGAGCAGCCCAAAGGTACGCAGCCCTCCCGGGAGAAGCGGGACCCTGAGCAGGGGAGCGCCCCCGCTGTGGGCATTTTGTGGACCCAGCACAATCGAGACCAGTTGCATAATATCTGACTTTGCCTGCTACTAAAACATTGGGGAATACCCCCAGAAAACCTGGTTCACAAAGTAATTAAAACCAGCTCTTAAAGGGCCCGTGTGCAAGCTCACCCGTTTCAGAAAGCATCCTAAAATCACCAGAAAGAAAGGTGCATAGTGCTTTGGTGAAAAGAGACTCACCTGATAAACCAGAGTGCATCTCGGTGAGAGGTGAGACCTCCCCAGGGACTGGGACATTTGCGGTGGCCATTGTTGTGGCCTGGTGTGGTGTGCTGACACAGACGCCATTGGAGTTCTCCCTGGGGCCTGCTAGCCCA